CTTGTTTACACTGTCATTACACGGCTTGGACATTGTTTGGACATTGGGCTGATAACGGTGTACGTGTGAATACTCCAATCAAACCTAGTTCATCTTATTTTCTGTGTATYATTTGCATTTCATCTTTTCGCAAATTATTTGTGATTAAAAAAAGTTCTTTATAAAAAATGTCTCTTTTACTAACTTACAGAATTTCGGTCGTGAACTACCGGTAGTGAACATTATGATCAATGAATAGTGTCGACCCCAATGTGGCTAAATGGACGGGACACTTTTCATGTTCTGTTTTGAGGTTTCTTCTCCAATTGTCTTATTAGGTCCCATGGTCGTTATTCAGAAGGAAAGTTTAATTATTCTGTTCGACTGGAATTTCTTGTCCCAGTCAGTCCCACTGTTTTGAAGAGAGTGAGCAATTTTATTATTGCTTTCACGAATGTCTTTTCCTCTCGGCCTATTGGTGATTTCATCAGCATCTAGATGCCTTTCCAGCTCGAGTTGATGAGCTCTAAATAAATTTGCAAAGAATATTTTCTTCGGTCATTGACTAAGATCAGAAAGTAAATGAGTGTCTAAGGAGTCTCGGCGTTGAGAAAATATCAAATGGTTGCGCAAAGGCTCATGGGTATAAGGCTGATGCCTGTCAGGCTACACACTCTTCTAAGTACAGATTTTTTGGTTATAATAGATTTTAAAATTCCATATTACATACATAACGTTCTTCCTCAAATCAGTATTCTGTATTCCTGAATATTTGGTGGTTCAAAAATCATGGGTTTAGCCAGGATATTACAACATTACTTGATTCACCCTCCCTATAAACCATCTACGCATGMSTCTCGATTTGTTTACCGGAGTTKCTTAGTAACCTGACAATGCAAATCATGTTGAATTCACAGCAMCCTTTTAATTACTGYGGTTGMTTAGTAACCTTAGAAAGCAAATCATTCCATTGGCTAATAGGATCGTTACTAATTCGCTCCCTCGATGTGTTTACTTGTGTTGATTAGTTACTTTGCAAAAAACACATTGTTGTTTTACTCGCGTTACTAGGCAATCTGTGAAACAAATCATTTTGTTTGTTGTTGAAAATGCTATTAGTAACTCTGTCACAGCTGCCACATCCATTTTACTGCAGGCTGTTTAACCGGAGTACCACGAGACGAACCAATTATTTTACTCTAAAGATCTTGCTGATTTCAGGAGTTTAAGTGCCATTCATTATGGGCTGTYGTAGTTCTACATTCCTTCTTTTGCCGACACAACCAAGAGTGATTTTCGTTCAAAAGGCAAGAATTACAGAACATCAAGAAGAAACAGAACCCGAAAGCACAAATACCACAGAAATGTCAGTTGAAATTCCAAAGGAAAATGAACACTTCATTTCATTTGCCGATAAAGATGGGACTATCAACGAGATAAACGAGATAAACCAGACAGGATCAAGAAATGTGTTTGTTGTTCGCTCTATTAGCCTTAGTGGGAGAAAACAAACTCGCGAAGAGAAACATTGTCCACATCGTAGTGTCAGCCTCAGTGCTTGGGAGTCTGTGAACAAGATGAAACGGAACGGAATTCCCAGTACMAGCCTCGRACAGTTCGGGCCTTGTGATTCTCTGGATACGGCGTACAAGAATGAAATTCCCCGAGATCTAATAATTGACCACTCTGTGTTAGTGGAAGATATGAAATGACTTACTACACTATCAGAAATAAGTGCTAAATGTATAGAGGAAACATGAGTAAAGGAAGCGTGTAATATTTTTCTAATTGTATTATATTTCATGGATGACGAGTATTACAACTACTGTTATACTATCAATTAAAAATATCTAGCTAGYTTGTTGTATTTTCTGTGTATWATTTCATTTATTTGCAAATTATTTGTKATTAAAAGAAAAAGTTCTTTAAAAATAATATGTCTTTTACTAACTTACAGAATTCTGAATATTTCCCCCCTGTTATCCCGTTTTTCCAGATTCCGGATACTGCGTTAAACCAACGTCGCCCCCAGGGCCATCTCGGCCGACTCCTTGTCAAGATGGCGGTCGTCTGGTCGTCCATATTAGGGACTGTGCAATAATTACCAGGAGGGGGAGGCGTAAAACCAGATTTCTCAAGCAGAAACTTTCAGGAGGAGCTGACKSGGTCTGTTCTGCTAAAAAAATAACTGTTCTTGTATGAATTTGTTCCTGGSAAAGGTTTTTTTCAAGGTCCAAAAAAGGCTTATGTAACGTTTTTATGGTCAAAAACGACKTTGATGTTACTTGTGCTTGTTATGTCTAATAAATCATCAAGATGTTTTTCAGCTTCTACATCTTCAATTTATGTGATAAAATTGAAAAAATCAATAGTTAAAAAAATTCATATGCTGGTCAATTTCAATCCCACATCAACGAGTCTTTGAMTTTAGATTTCCATTAGTACGTTTCGTTTCATAATGGATTTTTCATAAAGAAGATAACCTAACAAGCTTTAGCTAGCAGATTAAAAATGATCAGTGTTGTTGATAAACCTTCWTAAAACTGAAAAAGTAAYATCAATATCATATTAATTGTCAGTYAGAGTTGTTTTTGTCATTTTCTACAATTATGGTTGTTACTGATTTACGTTGAATTTAAGATARAGAAAATAATGAAAATTTTGAATAAAACTTAAGGCCCCCCTCTGTAAATTAGGTAATTTTACTTTGATCTCCCTATCTTGGCATCAATTTTATGCAATGCCCCCTCTCTGGTTTTGGTAATTATTGCACAGTCCCTTACTTGGGGATTTGCAAACTGCAGCGAAGTTTCTACGGTATCCTTAAACAAACGTCTCATAGGTGCATTGTTGAGGTTTTTCTGAGCAACATTATTTGTAACCAAGATGTTTTGAAGAGTGTGTAGCCTGACAGGCCTGGGGGGTCTTATTCAACCTTATACCCATGCGACTTTGCGCAACTCTTTGAACTGTGCCGACAGAATAAAAATTTCTCAACGCGATGGCTCCTTGGCCACTCATTTACTTTCGGAGCTAAGTCAATAACCAAAAAAGGCATTATCAACCTTATGCCCATGGGCCTTTGCGCAACCCTTTAAACCTATACCGACAGAATTATATTTTCTCAATGCTGAGGTTGCTTGGCCACTCATTTACTTTCGGAGCTTAGTCAATACCCGAAAAAAAGGTTCTTTGCAAATTTATTGTCCATGATGGGATGTGCTAGTTCTAGTTCTCCACATTACTCGGAATTGATTTATGCAGCTTTGGAGGCGCAAGTGATGGAAGATCTAGAGAGAACTGACCAACTCGAGCAGGAAACGAATATATATGTTGATGAAATCGCCAAGGTGCGGAGAGAAAAAGACATCAGTGAATGCAATAATGAGATTGTTCATACTCTTCAAAACAGTGGGACTGACTGGGACATAGAAGAAATTCCAGAGCGGGAAAATTAAACTGTCCCGCTAAATGACTCCCATGGGAACTTGTTTACACTGTCATTGCACGGCTTGAACATTGTTTGGACATTGATAACGCGTGTACGTGTGAATACTCCAATCAAACCCTAAGAAGATTTCCGTTGTTATGAGAGTTGACTATATTTCAAGTCTACTCTAGCCTGCGACTAGCGGTTTACGCTGAAGTACTCCTTTTGCTAGCTACGAAAAAATAGTTGGTATATTCTCAAAAGTGATTGTAATCTTTCGTCAGTATTCTTTACTGAAGCCGATTCTTTCACTCCAGAGCTCGCGGTTAGCAACCCAAAGCAAAAGATAAGTCGTTGCTCAGGATAAGGGATCACAATTAGAACTATTGTTTTCGATATCAGGATCAAATTTTGTTTTGCTCATTTTTTGGGATAAAAGCTTGAATCAGGGATCAAGATCTTGATCGCTTTCAGGATCAAAATCAATTAAATTTGTAGAACTTTGCTGAGGTCGAGATCACAAATGATGCAGTTTAACTGGACACCACTTTAAAATGCCAGAAAACAAATCCTAATCAAAATTCACTACATACTTTTATAGCCCACCAAAATGGCCAAAAGTGGTCGATTTTTGATCAAAATGCATGGGCTATAGCCCACCAAAATGGCCAAAAGTGGTCGATTTTTGATCAAAATGCATGGGCTATACCCCACCAAAGAGGTCAAAAATGATCGATTATTGATCAAAATGCATGGGCTACAGCCCACCAAAATGGCCAAAAATGGTGGATTTTTGATCAAAATGCATGGGCTATAGCCCACCAAAATGGCCAAAAATGGTGGATTTTTGATCAAAATGCCATGTGCTATAGTCCACCAAAATGGCCAAAAATGGGCGATTTTTTATCAAAATGCACCGGCTATAGCCCACCAAAATGGCCAAAAATGGTCGATTTTTGATCAAAATGCATGGGCTATAGCCCACCAAAGAGGTCAAAAATGATCGATTTTTGATCAAAATGCATGGGCTATAGCCCACCAAAATGGCCAAAAGTGGTCGATTTTTGATCAAAATGCATGGGCTATAGCCCACCAAAATGGCCAAAAGTGGTCGATTTTTGATGAAAATGCATGGGCTATAGCCCCCAAAATGGCCAAAAAATGGGCGATTTTTGATCAAGATGCATGGGCTATAGCCCACCAAAATAATGGGCGATTTTTGATCAAAATGCATGGCCCATCTTAGGCACAAAAATACACAAAAATGGTCCATTGTATATCAAACTTCATGGGTTATAGCCCACCAAAATGCCCAAAAAAGTTATTGAACAGGAATCCCAATGTTTTGAGGCATTAAAATGGTAAAATGGTATTACCTTTTTAGTCAAAAATAGAGTTTATTTACAGAGATCTCATATAAAGATTATATCTACAGATAAGGATATATACTGAAATACCGTAATTCTTAGTTATATTGAAGTTCAGAAAAAGTACGATGTCCTTCTGAGGGTGATATAAGTGATTTGCGTATGCGTAGCATTATGAAAATACGTTTAAATAATTGGCATTTTAATCCTTGGTATATCCGGTTGTCTTTCAGTAGTATATCCGAAAAGTCATTCTTTAGTGGCCGTCATGACGTTGTTGAAGTAGTTTCCTGCAAGTTAAAAAGGATGGTATGATTAGAAGAAGATCATGATTTCAGATCGAATCCAGTGGCGGATCCACATTTTTCAAAGGGGGGTTCCAATTTGTTTTCGCATTTTCCTAAAACGAACTTTTTTACTGTGACTCTCGAACTGTAGCAAATGGAGCATGAATGTATTTAAAAAAATCATTGTACGATGCGTTTTCATTTTATTTCATTTATCATTTATTTTATTATTTTATTTTTTTATCTTGAGGGTTCCTAGGAACCCATGGAACCCCCCTGGATCCGGCACTGTGAATCTAACCGTTTTCGAAATTGAGCACAGTTGTCAATATTAACTATGCCACACGTTCATGACAATAAAAACGCAAGCTATGATAAGCAACAACGATGGAGACGTCTAACGTTGCTAAGATCTCCACAACAATTATGTCGTCGTTCGGGAAACATGCTGCACAAGACGTCCGTAACGCAGGTTACTTTGTTTCATTGCTTCCCCCCACCTTTTTATAAACTTATTTGATGCAAGTTCTTATCCTTAAATATGCTGCTAATGTAAAATATTAGACTTCAATATTTTATTGTCTTCCTTGTGCTTGCGTTTATGCTAATGTCTATGTCTTATGTCATTCTCTTGACTTAATTCTTTTGTCTTTTTCTTATTTTCATGCTTATGTAGTGAAAAGCAAGCTTATGAGATTGTTTCAAAATCGTCATTTTCTTTTTTTACATATCCTTACTAATGTACCAAATTCTTCCCAGACCTCCTCAGCCTTCTGTCTTCCTCGTAATGCATCAAGGGAAATCCCAATGAACGAATCCCAACTCACTCAATTTTCTCAAAATCTAACGCGCAGTAAACTGCCACATCCTTGAACACTTGGAGTTGGAGGACAATTTGAGCGATTCAGAAATTAATCGTATAAATTCAGACAGATTTTTTTTCGTCAAAAAGAGCTAATCCAGTCTCGTATCAAAGTTTATGGTTAAATTCGGCCAACGCCCAACTTGCGGATTGATAGATTAATTAAACTTAACACAACAAAGACGAAAAGGAGCTCAATTAAAAAAAAGAAGCACAGCACTTAAATCAACTCAAACAAACGACAGACAGAACAATTACCAAAACAGAAAAACAAAAAAACACAGAAATGAAATGAAAACATGAAATTGAAATTGAACAATATGGCAGATTTTGACACATGCGACTTTATTTCAAATTGAGACAATAGAGGAAAGATTTTGGTGGAAAGATATAACATAATACCATAATTACTGAAAGAAACTCGAACTTTTGTTACTAATTATACAGAAAATTAAATAAAGTAAACTAAGTTATAGCTCATAAATTGATGGCAGCTAACCCGTGAAAAGAAATCTTGATTATAAAGTACAACATAGACCCCATACGGTTCTTATACTTGGCTGGGCTAAGATTAACATCTTAAAAAAAATTTAAGTTGATCAAAACATGAAAACACGAAAATAGCCTGAGAGAAACGCTGAACGAAAAAGGAAAAATACCTTTTCTTTCAAGTTAGATTTCTCATTTACTCATAAGTTGATTGCCATCAATTTATCGTATATATAAACAAAAATAAGTGAACTTTCTTTAATAGTATTTAGATCTGCTTCAAACACGCCAAATTTCATAAAATATTTGGTAATTTTTCATTGAAATCGGAACATGTGAGTTTCGGCGTTAATTAGAGCAAAAAATTACATTTTCCTTTCTTTTACTCGCTATACTTGATCATCAAATCCTTAATCAATAGTAAAATACTTCTATTTAGAAAAAAAATAGTTTAGTATAATTGTCAATTATGCAATACAGATTCAAAATGTAGTATATGTGATCACAGAGTATAAAAGCCTTGAAATAACGTTTTAGTGAATTGTTAACATTGTAATTACGGAAGGTAAAACTATTCCTATTTGAATATAAATGTATCGAAATAAGCGTAAAAATAATTATCCTGAATTCCAGTGCATCTAGCATGAGCCAAACTTAAATTACAAATAATACGAGGTGACAATTTACAGTTCGAAATTATGGTTAAAATTGCTCAATGATTCCAGAAGATTAAAGCCAGAAGTGAACTTAAAGTAAGATACAACATTAATTACATAAAGTAGCCTATGTTATCATAATAAATTAGTAGTAATCGTCCGCCTCAGCTTCACCACTGGCGCTAGACGATTCGAACCAGGAAAAACTCAGCTTACCACTGAAGGCCAGATATAGAAACAAGAAGAATCCAATGAGAATTAACATAGTGTATGCCAACTCTCGTGTGCTTAGACGATGCCTTATGGCGCCCAACTCTCGTAGGTAGTCGCTCTTGTCTTCGATGTAGTCCTGTGCGAATCGTAACATTTGTCGAAGTGCCAGCAAGGCGAGACTGTTCACGTGCATGTTCAGCTCTGTTTCCCACTCGTAGTTCTTGATAGGGAAGATTTTATTGGTTGGTAGACCCTGGAGCCTGGTACTGATCATGCGCACTACTTGCTGGATGCGTTGGCTGTGGAACACGTGAAGAAGGTTTTCCTGGGTTTGAGGGCAGGCCAGGTCAATCTTGGTAAGTAGTACTACCATGGGTACACCTGTTGAAGTAATTGCCTATTTAAATATATTCACAAATATATATGCCGCTGTTACTATTGCTGCTGCATAATCTTTGCAGTTGCTATACTACACTGCAAATTTAACTTACGCCTTGCATTTACGGCATCTTGGAACATTCTGAACTTCTGCCACATAGATTCTGGAATGTTGTCCACTGTGGAGGCGTCGATGACAAGTGCAACGCAATGCGCCCTTTGGGAATGAGTAGGCGCTTCAATAAATCCAGGACTGTCTGGAGTTATGCCACCGTAAGGACTGAACTATAAGTACAATGGATGCTGTTAGAAAGAATACACAATCAAGAGTCCACCAAGCAACCAAGCAACCAACCAAGCAACCAACCAAGCAACCAACCAACCAAGCAACCAACCCAAATCAAGCAACCAAGCAACCGAGCAACCAACCAACGAAGCAACCAACCCAAACCAAAGACAAGCAACCAATCAGCAAACCATCCAGCCAAGAAACTAGACAACCAACCAACCAACCAACCAACCAATAAAATAGCCAACCAACCAATCAACCAACCAATCATCCACCCATCTATCCACCAACCATTCGGCTAACCATCCAGCCAAGCAAGCAAGCAAGCAAGCAAGCAAGCAAGCAAGCAAGCAAGCAAGCAAGCAAGCAAGCAAGCAAGCAAGCAAGCAAGCAAGCAACCAAGCAAGCAACTAGCCAACCAGCCAACCAAGCAAGCAAGCAAGCAACCAACCAATAAAGAAACAACTTACTTGGAATCTGTTGGGAATGTTTCCATCCACAAGATAAAGAAGCTCAGACACGCTTAAGCCATTATCAGGTAGAAGGCCAACAGTGTCGCAGATTTTCCATTTGAAAGGCTCTTTGAGAGGAGATGATGCTACATCATACATGCGAAACTAAAAATAAATATGGTTTAGTCAATATTTTTACATCTTTTCTTTTTCATTCTGTCCGCTACGTTCGCTGATACTACAATCATTCGCTTCCTGGTTCTTCTTCCTTCCTTCCTTTCTTTCCCTCCCTTCTTCCTTTCTATTTCTTTGCTTATTTCGTATTTTCTTTCCTTCATTTCCATTTTTCCTTCCCTTTCTTTCCTTTATTCCAACCTTCAAGCCGCACTCATTGCATGTTTTAGAACTGAATCAAGAATTAAGATGCGCTTACGAAACGCCAGCAGTAGTGCCAGACAAGTTTCTGTAAATTCCTTACCATTGTCGTTACGCTTCGACCAGCATTACCAGTGATGGCCTGACTGGTGACATATCCTCGGAAAATAGAGTTAACTGTGTTGTAGAAGCTTGATTTGCCCGAACTAACTTGACCGAGAAGAAGCAAGCGGAATTCAGACACGTTTAGGCCGCCCAAACTCAGAGGCTTGATATCACAGACATCTTGCAGGACTTTGCTCGGTGATCTAGAAAAAGTATTGGAAATCATTGTTATCGAGTTGTTCTTTTGTCAATGAATTCATAGCTTTTTAAACTGCATCTCTGATAACAAGATATCAATTCTCATAGATTTTAAGTATAATGAAGGCAGATTAATTTATAGCCATCTAAATTACAAGATACACTTTGAAACAATAATTATTTTCGCGAGAAGACTTCTCTTTCTGCTTCTGCCGGTAAAATCTATAAATTCTTGGCTTATCAGAAAACTTGGATTAACCACGTAATGCGCTTAATCTCCGCTCCATAACGAAGTATTCACATTGCAAATCAAAGGCTGACACTAAGATATCTATCAATCCTACCTGAAATGATCAACCATTTTCACCGTCAAATAACACTTCGGAAACTTCTACGTTTTCTTTTTCACGCGATTCACTTGCCTGCGCGCGCTTTAATGAGAGTTAATTGGACTTCAGAATAAAGTAATTGATGACGTCATATTCAATTGATTAATTTTACCATTACTTGTTGGGGTCCCTTTGTGCATTTATACAGAGTAGGGACTGTAAACTATTGCTAAGTCGTTTGAAATTAGCTCGTCCGTCTGCGCACATTGATATCTCGTCCTCATTTATCTAAATATCTTTGAAACCTAAAGCTTGTGCGCTTTACTCCTTGAACACTCAATGACAAATAATGCCCGATATATTTTGGACATATTTGATTCTGTCATGGACACGTATAGACAGGCAAAGAAGAATACTTCATTTTCGAATTCAAAGCGAAATAAACGCTGCTTTATTTGACAGCAGATTCTCTTGCGCAAAGACCAAACACAAAAGAAAGCACGAGAAAATGTCGTTATGACAATAGCCTTGAAAATTTACATTTTCCCCGAGTTGAGACTAACCCTGTATTCCCGTAAGACCTAAGGTATAGCCCTTCTGGGATACAGGGTTAGTCTCAACTCGGGGATAATGTAATTAAATTGTTAGCGCTATTTCCTACAACATTTTCTCATGCTTTCTTTTGTGTTTGGTAAGGCCTTTGCATAGGAGAATCTGCTGTCAAACAAAACAGCGGTTATTCACTTTGAATTCGAAAAAGGAATATTCACTCAGTAAAAATTGCTTTTGAATTATTCTCCGTTCACACTTCGTGCAATAAGAATCATCAAAAAACGTTGCAAGCAAATATTCATCAGTCTCAGTCAGTAGTAAGTAAAAACTGATCTGTAAATTTTACGAGTTCGAATGACGAAGAAGAACTCTTTTACGAATTTTATACTAAACGCCCAATTAATGCATGATTATTTAGAGGGAGAAGTCTTACGCAAATAACAGTTACAAAATGTATTCATTTCCTTGCTCATAAGTCATTCATTCATCAGAAAATTAACATGACATAGTGTTTTTGTGTAGTAACAAGGTTAGCTACAAAAAATTGAAAAATAATAATTACTTTTAATGAATTATTAATAAAGACATTTAATAATTACAATGCAATAATAACATAATAATAACAGAATTCAAACATAATAATCATGGTCTTCGTCGTGAGCTTCACCATCATCACCGAATAAGTCATGGCAATGCTGTGTGCGTGCCCAGCCGGCCATAAAACACGTTTCACCGAGCGAAACTAACACCGCAGCTACCGTCTTACGCCAAACCAAAGTCGGTCTTACAAAAACAATACAAAAGAAAATTACAATTGCTATTAAACCTACAAGCCAGATTTTTGTGTTTTTAGGAATGTACTCTCTTATTTTATCTTTCCAGTTGTGCGCTTTGGGAAAGAAATATAATCCTCCACTTAAGCGTTTCTCACAGAGACGTAACATTTCACGGAAAGCTAGAAGGATCAATATACTTGTGTCTGCGTCGATGAGAAATTCAGAGTCGTAGTTTTTGACGGGGAAAATTCTGTTGACGGGTATGTGTCTCAGTTTGATGCTGATTGTTCTAACGATGTCTCTGATTGGTTCGTTGTAGAATACGTCACGGAGGCTGCCATGGTGACCATTGGGGACTTTGTCGATTTGAGTGAGTAGTATGACAAAGGGTATTCCTGAATATTAAAACAGGAAAATGATTGAATAAATGACTGATGAAGTAAATGTATGAAAATTCAAGGTATCTGCTAATCGTGAACACATACATTAAACTCTGCTTATATCATAACTTAAGTTAGACTTAAACATAGTGTATTCGGGTTTACAGTATTCACCTCGTGCTGATATTGCTCGTTGCAATATACTAAACTTTTCCCACATCTGTGACGTCAGTGAGTTAACTCGTGGAGCGTCGATAACCAAAGCACAGCAGTGTGCCATTTGATTTGGATGTCGGTCAGCGGTACACGATATTGAATTAAATGAATACCCGCCAAACTGAAAGACATAAAAAAGCACATTTTGAGCAAGAAAACCAATTATTAATGTTTTTCATAACATTGCAATACAATAAAATAATTGTTTCTTACACAATTGTAGCGTATGGTTTGACCAGAAAAGACTTATGAAGCGCGAAGTTCAAGACGAGCTTTTCATAAAAAATTCTCCCTCGACAAAGACGACAAACGATCGATTGCACAATCGATATAAACTCGGATTATCGTCCGACAGATCATTCTGTCATTATAGTCAACTCACCTGGTAACTGACATGGGCATTACCGTCCACAATACATAGAAGATCAGATATATCGCTATCTTGTCGAAAGCCTTTGGTATCGGTTATTGACCAACCTATTGGATTACCCGTTGACGGGGATATGACGTCATATTCCTGGAACTAAAGTAAATGATGACGATGACACTGATGATAACAATGTTATGAACATTGAATACGAAACAACATCATAACATATAATGCCTTTAATTCAATTGAATGGGAAAAGGTACTTGTCAGATGGGTTCCATTAGCTTACTGTAATAGCAGCCCATATTACTAGGATCGTCCAAGATGTGTATTGGAATAGGTAACAACGTTTTCATTGACGTACTTTCAGTTACTTCCGGTAATACGGGAGCGCGGGAAACATTGAAATGATGTCAGTTAAAGTGGCACTTACACGAAGAAGCACTAATTTCAAAACGCTGCGTAATTATTATACCTTCTCAGAAAAAAGTTTTGCTAAACAGTCATAAAAAAATAGGGAAATTTTGCCTCCAGCGAAGAAAGGACAAAAGGAGGGAATATATGCCGTCATATGCTCGAAAATCTTTTGACAAAATTCCTAAGAAATTGTATCCAATATCTTGTCAAAATACGTTGCTTCGTCATTATAGGACCTTATTGATAAGTCTAACAATAATTTCGTGCCTTTTCCAGTGATCTACAGTGTGAACGCCATGGCAATTCTGTACAAAGGATATAGGCGCTCCTAGTAATGGGCTCCTGAATGCTACAATTCCAAAATCAGGTTAAAATACCATAAACAAAGTAAAACCTACATTGTTAGTCCCCAGTCCTCCATTCATGACAGCGTGATTAGTGACGAAACCATGCACTGAAGAATTCAAAGAGTTAAAGAAACTAGTTTTGCCACTTCTTGTCTGCCCCAGTAGAACAATACGATACTGTGACACGCCCTGTATAGGGTGTGGTCTGGGGCAATAATCCATGACATCTTTAAGGATCGTCCTGTATAGGGACTGGCTGAAAATACAAAGATAACATGCAGTCTGAGGATAACAGGTTGAGATCATGAACATTTGTGCGAGTAATAGAACTGAAAAGTATAGAGTGGAAGCCATACTTCTTCGAAAAAAAATAATGCACTTAGCAAGCAGGTACCAGGGTGTCTTGAGGGATTTGATGAGGGGTGAGGTGAGGGTTGTTTTCATGAGGGGTGGGGTAAGGGAGTTTCCAGCTTTTTAACGGTTTAAAGACTGCGAAGAAGACTTTTGACAGCAAAACCCACTCTCATTTTTGAAAGGTTTACAGAGGATTGATTAAAAAATGTCAAGAAATGATAATTCTCAGGTCCTGTGACCAGGAACAAAGATTTGAACCGAGGCGTCAAAGTAAAGTGATATCTTAAGAAAATTGAAAGCCCATCCCATAGTTACATTAGGACAAAAGAAGTTTCTTCAATTGTATTTTTTTAAGGATAAAGGAGCACAAGTCTAAGTTTACTATCTATAAACACTTAATACTGAAACTACAAGAAATACGCGTGTACTCACCTGTTTATTGAAGAACGAGTCGTGCAGTTACAACTGCAAATATTGGAGCGATTGTTGAACGAGTTCATGGTGATATTCTCGGTGTTTGTTTTCTACTGTCTTGTCAGATGCGCGTGCGCAGACGTATCAATGGTCAGGAAAGTTCTAAGCGAGGATTCTTTGCACGCGCAGTATACACGATGTTGTACAGTCTCTTGCGCGAGTGAGCAATCTCGCGTGTAAAATATATGATCTCGCGCGAAAAAAGTATGAGTTCGCAGGTATCTCTTGCGTGAAAATATGTACTTATTGACTGAGTGGGAGGGCCGTACGGGAAAATATTTGGCTCGAGGTTATGCCGTACAAATGACCGAGAGCCAAATATTTTCCCGTACGGCCCTCCCACTCAGTCAATAAGCATTTTATCATATGACAGATGTTTTTATTGTAAAAAAATAAATAAAAGCGCGCGGAACTTCAAGCCGGGAAAATACGGGTTTGTACGGACCAGTCGCGAAAAGGCGTACGGACCACATCGCGTGAGCATTTTACAAGGTTTCAGTGAGAGCGCGCGTAGGTCCGAAATACGGGTCATATGATAATAGAAATTATTGTATGGGCGCGCAGAGATACGGATTTTATCTTTTCGCGTTCCACTGATACCTCGCTAGTGAAAGAAGCGAACGACAACTCGAATCCGACAACGAGAAAAAAAAAACAGCGAAACGAAACGAAAGCGAAGACAGTAGTGAGCGGAACGGCAAAATTTCAAATATATAGATCTTGATTTTATTTATATTTATTTAATTAAAATTAGCATTTACGGGTCGTAAAAATTTAGCATTCTCTAGTAGGGTTGTCAAACAGGTATTTGTTCTTCGTTAGGAATAAGTTCCATACTGTAGACCGCTGACTTAGGGCTTTGAGTCCACAGTGATAGATAAGTCGACGATCGATGCATTCGTCGCAATCGACGGAAAAATAGAACAATGGCGGCGAAAACGACTACACTGCAAATCACGAACACGACACGGAATTCCATTTCGCTAACGTAACTCATTAAGAAATGATATGAACTCTTGCTGCTTGCGTACTGCGAGTGGAGGTGATTATGTTGGATTTCACTGAAAGGGAATGAGAAGAGAATTAAAATGTTTAGACAGAAACCTATAAGGGACTTGAAACATGTAACGCCGTGCCAACGGTTGGAGGAAATCTAATTTGCATCTTGTTTCCTTATTTGAAACAATTAAATTTACCCTATAGCCAACTAGTAATAGCCAACCAGAACGGGCCTTAAATCAGAACGGCCGAATTTTCCAAATATGATCATAACGCTCGTTTTTGAATTTTTAATGAATTTTGAATATTCCGACGCTTGGTACTAAAGAAATGTACGGGCGTTACACGTTTCAAGTCCCTTATATGTTTCTGCTTTAGATTGAATTTGATTGATTTTAATTTTAATTTGATTGATTGACTGACTGACTAACTGATTGTAGGAAGGATGAGGGGATGGGTTTTTTGGGGGGGAGGGAGGAGGGGATGGGGGAGGAGGATGGAGGGGGGAGGGAGGGAAAGATGTCAGATTGAATGACTGCATGTTGGGTGAATTGATTGATTGATCGATGAATGATTGACTGATTAATCAAATGTTAGGTTGATTGTTAGTGCATTTTTTGTTAAATTCGTTGATTGATCGATTGATTGATTGACTGATGGACAAATGAATTGATTGATTGCCGATTGATCGGTTTATTGTTATATGAATCAATTGATTGATTGGATGATTGATTGATTGATTGATTGGATGATTGATTCAGTAATAATTTGTATTGCATTAGATATTCTTACCGTAATGGCAGAAAACGTGTTAAATACAGGATGGCTCCCAAAGTCCACTGAACCTCTTTATTTTCTATAAACTGAGCTGATTTCAGCCCATGATAACTGGCGGGAAACTTAAATCCTTCATGTAACATTGTTGTCATCCAAGCGGACTTGAAACACTGGTATCTAGGCAACCACAAACACACATTAAAATACGCCTTTTACGAAATGAGCTGAGTCGGTGTTTCTAAAGAAACAGTTGTGAAAAAAGATACATTTAACGACGTAAAAAAGGTGGTCTTTATTCCGACGAAGGATTAACGTCCGAAACGTCAGTAAGTTATTTCGCCTTTTTTACGGTGTTGAATTTATCTTTTTTCACAACTCTTACGAAATGAGCTTACACAAATAGAAAAACAGAATAGAAAATCTTACTTTAAACGATGGTTGTCGGCAAATGGATACAGTCCTTGAGTATGTCGTCTTCTGAGCACATTCCATCGTGTACTGCAGAAACCCTGCAAAAACAAACATACAATATTTTTCGTTTTCACTATACGTCACAGCGGCCATCTTGGAGGAACTTCAACAAAGGATTTGTCATTAGCCTCTATTGTTCATTCATCCAACATGTCCGCCGGTCTTTTATCTTTTGAATCTCATGAGAATGGTTGAAAACGATCAACAGGGAGAAAATAAAACGAAACCTTTACAGAAAAAATTCCTAGTTAAAAAACTATTCAGAACTGACGACAAACCTTCGCTGCCTTGGCCATCTTTACAGCATCATATTGTCCCCCAATTCTCAAAACATCGTGCATAGAATACCAGTACTCAGAGAAACCATAAAATTGTTCATCATTCTTGCCAATAGAAGGTTGATAGACGCCATTGAAGGAGCACGGTTTACTTTTACAATACACTGAAGCGTTCAATAACGGCTGAATGTTGTTTTTACATTGGATATAATCTCCTGTTCCTATCATATGGTAAGCCTGTCCCTTATATGAACCTTTTTCATGATATTCTAAGGGTAGACATGGATCCAATAAAGCATCGGAACTCCTACAGGTGATAACATTATCGTAATTATATTATTAAATCATAGTTATCTTATACGACAACACGATAGAAAATCACAGTCATTGTTTACATGTAAGTTGGCAATAGATTCGTGCTGATTTGTGTATAACTTTATAGAGGACTGCGCAATATTTATCAGGATCAAAAATTCAAAAACAGTTAATTACATGTTAAACCAGCATTCCATGCGGTCGTGTTCTAGATTTTTCATATATGGAAAATGAGGTGACTTCCAATCGCAATCCGTTTCCATCCGTCGTTTTTACGATCGAATCTCACAATATCTCTCCTCAAGTTCCAAATGTAATGATAATGTCAAAAACATTTAACTTGCAAGCATGATCTGTAGTTTTATATTAAAATCCTTTGCTGAAAAAGAATTACGCAAATGAATGATTTTCACAACTAAAGTACTTACTTGTCGTACGTAAGTGTTTTATTCTTCAGGACATATTCAATATATCTATGATGCGCGGCGTTGCTACCAAAACCCAGAAAAGTCGCAACGTATACACGATAGTTGTGAATGGTTTCATGTGAATCACAGCCAAGATTGACGTCTGACAGAAGGTCTTTGGGAACAAAGGTCTGAGATGAAAATCATAATGCAAACGTTTCAAACTTATAATGATTCAAAGGCTGATTCTGATAAATGCACAATAATTATGGAGACAGCCAATGGCGCTTAAATTTCCGTTAATAATTATGTATTACTTCAATTCTTTATGTTGAACCCCACTCCCCCCCCTCCCCCACTACCCATGAATACCATGAAGAAATGAAAGAAACACAGAAAGGGATAATTTGAAAATTAATGGTTTGAATGAATGAATGGTTTGTTGAATGAATTGATGAAAAATTGGCTCTTCGCAGTCTGATGATGATTATAAAAGCTTGAAATAATGAATAACTGAATTTCAAAATGAATGTATGAAAAAATAAATGAATGGAATTAAGAAATAAATGAATAAAGAAGCAAATGAGTGAATACATGGACATAGGGATAAAAGAAAGAAGAGAGTTCTGAAAATAACACTCACCGACTTTGGGACTTCAAAAGCTATCTGTGCTGATGCTCCCCCCATGTCCAAAGCACCAACAGTTTTCTTGCGGGGACTCTCTGTGGGTTTCTCGGTGCTCAAGGGGTTGGGATTTTCTGTAGTCAGATATCATTATAGGAGACACTTACTAAATTAGTTGATGGATTTACTGAATAGCTGATTTGCATTATGGCGTAATTTACTACAACTACCAGAATGCTTTGTCAACTTTCTTTTGTAGTGCAATTAGTGCTAATTGTTTTATTAATCTCCAAGGGGATTAAAAATCTGAAAAACAATGAAAATGCACAAGGCTCTCTGGTAGTTGTAGTAAAGTTATGCCATAATGCATATGGCCTATTGATTGTATTAATTGACTAATTGACTTTCTAATTAATTCATTGATTTGGATGCTGATTGATTGATTGATCTAACTGACTGATTGATTGATTGACTGCCTGATTGATTGATTGATGGATTGATTTGGATGATGATTGACTGACTGATTGACTGTTTGATTAATACTGCTTTGAATATACAATACTTGTTTAACAATCAGCTGATTGATTGATTGACTGTCTAATTGACTGATAGATTGATTGATCGACTGTCTAATTGATTGATTGATTTTGATGATGATTGATTGATTGATTGATCTGACTGATTGATAGATTGATTGATTGACTGTCTAATTGATTGATTGATTTGGATGATGATTGATTGATTGATCTGACTGATTGATTGATTGACTGTCTAATTGATTGATTGATTTGGATGATGGATGATTGATTGATCTAACTGACTGATTGATTGATTGATTGACTGCCTGATTGATTGATTGATTAATATTGATTTGAAATACAGTACTTGTTTAACAATCAGCTGATTGATTGACTTGATGGTCTAGTGAATTATAAACTGACTGATTGATTAAGCTTGCCTAATTAATTGATTGTTAGCTAATTACATGCATAACACCTTGCAAGGAATGGTCAAATCTTCCAAGAACATAATTAACTCCAATCCAAGAATAGACCCCTAAAAATTTAAATCACATTACAATTTAAGAACCTGTTAGCCTAAAAATATCAATTTAGAGCCTAAAATTTGAAACAGGTTCTTATAGAAAGGTTCTTATACAAAAATTAACCTAAAAACATCAAAAAACATAACTCAAACTGTAGTGAACTTGAACATGTATGTACACTTCTAAATTTGGTATAATTATGTTTGAAAACCTTGTAGATTTTCATTACATAAGGAATAAATACAAACATATATATTTAAGAACCTGCGTAGCCTGAAATTCCACTAAGCACCATTTACATAAGAACCTGTTTAGGCTAAATTTGAAAAAAATGGGTTCTTATAAGCAGGTAAGTACTGTATTACTTAATTCTCAAATATCAATAACCAAAAGATTCCGCATACCTTCCTGTTTCCCAGTAATAATTTCAGCATGAGTTGGAGTAAAGTGAAAACTATACTGTTTTGATATATCACTTCGTAAGTCATTTAATATGGCATCCTGCTTGTCTTTGGATAAGAGCCTCATGCCGGCTGTTGCTAATATGTATAAAGGAGTTTCTTTATGTTTGGATTTAGGAATGTGTTCAACAGCAAAGTCTAATAATGGTTTTAGGTATTCTGACGCATTGCTGGGGTTTGTTGAGTATGTGGAAATCCCTGTAAAAGCAAGGTGAAACTTTTTAAAAATGGTACCAAACAGCAAAATGCAGAATTGTAGAAACCCTTATTAGTGAGTTTAGTGTTATTATTGTTTTGTTCTCTCATTGAGCTGTCCGGCTCACTGATGTTGGTATCTTTTCGATGTTTCAACGCCATTTTGGTCGTCTTCCTCAGGATTTTGAGGTAGACGACCAAAATAGCGTCGAAACATCGAAAATATACCAACATCAGTGAGTGAAGAGCATAATGTTGATATTTTACACTTTGAGAGGTCATATTTACCAATGTTGGATGCTGCTGGATAAAGCATATGTTGGATAGAGTTTAAATGCATTTCACAAGATTTCAAAAATTAGTTTGATAACATTTAGTAATTAAATATTTTTTTTCATAATAGACTCTCCAAAAAAAAACGAACATTTCTTGTTTTTGCAATTATTACCTGGATTAATTTTCATCCTCACAGGAGTCCCTCTTTGATTTCTTAATTGTTTAATTCTCAAAAGTTCATCTCTATTACCATTATGTGGTGGCCAATAATATAAATAAACCCTAGAACCACTACTTCCACAGTCAATAACCACCCCGTAGTGATATTCTGAAACTAAATTATGTTCAGCTGGTGCTCCTAAGTTCATTCTTCTATGTATGCGCTGTTTTTTGAAATCCATTGTGAAATACAGTGATACAAGAAATATAATAGCAATTAGGACAAGGATTAGGACTTTGAAATGACCAGAGTGAGTTCCAAGAAAGCTTGAGCGTGTTATGATGCCAGTTTGGTTGTCAATGACTTGGTGTGTGCTGTGAAAGAAGTGGCCTCTGATGAACGAAGGTAAGGCAAGCCAACGAAAAGATATCCTGAAAGAGAAAAACACTTTTCAGACAGTATGAAGAGATTATTTTTTTATTTGTTAAAAAAAAGACGCCAACAGTCCATCACTAAGGGTACGTTATCATTTCAACCTATCTGTTTAAATGGCATATAGATAATTAAAAATGACAACTTCAAATTCAAGAAGTCACAACACAGATTATATAAAATCCCAATGAATGACAACTGAGTCTAGTGTCATAAAAAATGCAATGCAATCCTGCATGTAGATGGTCACCAAATATTATTTTTCTTTGAGATTGGTCGAACTAAAATAAGGAAATATATAGTACTAGTTACAAGGTACAAATAAGGTGGATTACATAGGAAACAAAGGAATCAGGATAATTTACCAGCTATTTTGTACAATTTTTGCTTATCATCAATGAAGTGTGTTCACTCTAGACTTCTTCAATAAAGCCCCTGATAAACTTTTCTTTCATTTGAAAAAGCCTTTCGAAAACTGGGGAAATTTATAGCAAATATTATTTAAAATGATTTTTCCATGCATATAATCAAATCATGTTACTTTACTTAGCACATTTTCCTACTTAGGACTCACTGAATTACAACATAAGATTAAATCATCAATTTAACATTTGAATCTAGCAATAAATCTAGTCTTAGAGTAAATTTCACAGATACATGAACTTAACTTACATATTAGAAAAGCTACCAAGCGATGCGTTCGCCATATAAAAATGTTTACGTCTCTTTATGAGAATGTGGCAAATATTTTATATAAAAAACATTTAATGTTCATTTTTCCCATTAAGATAAGCAACATTTCACACTTAATCGGGAAACTGATTCACCACGGCAAAGGAATGCAAAGTTTTAAATCTGATTTGTTATTAAACTCAACTCAACGAAATTCGAAATATTTTTGAGTTTGACACAGACTTACCTGCCAACCATAGCACAAACTACCAGTTGATCGCATTAGAAGCCTGGACAACCAGATAAATAAACAAATAAATCTAGGTCTCTGTAAAATTTAACGTTAATTTTCGAATATAAGCTACATTATGTATTAGAAAGTACGAGGATTCCCCTCTACTCGCCACGTAAATGTTTAGAAAGAAAGATTACGGAGCCCGCTGTGTCAATGGGCAGTGGACTGTTACTAGGGCCCAGGACCCACTCATACAAATCTCGAGCCTCCTTTTTCCTTGGCCAGCGGACCAAAAACGAAGGTGTGTCAGTTTCTACCAGAGAAAATTGTCTAATTTGTCAAATGAAAATGGGAGTTATAATCAAAGAGCTTACCACTGCAGGACCGGCTTTGTTATATTGATTTGTAAAATTATTGAGAGATGAAGAGCGCTCTAATTGGCAGGTGACCATGTTTATAAAGGCGTTCTGGGGCATGCTTTGCCTCGCGCAAAATCAAAAATAAAGACTTTTCTCGTCGTGTGCATATCAGAGAAACACAGACACGCGCGTCCGCTGTATATTTATTAAAATATTAGACTTTTTTTAGTAAGTAAATGTTCCCAGAATAAAAATCAAGCCATCATTTAAGAAGAGTATGTGTTAATTTTTATTTTCTCATAAAATATTAAAGTTCATTCAATAATTTGTTCTAAAAGAGTTCTCACACGTTCGACCTAAAGCACAGCTATTTTCTTCAAGTTGATTTCAACTAATATTTCAAAGACATTTTGCAAAACGGTCTTCATTGGGTCTGTGTCCGTTGCGCAAGTCACGTGGACGAAGATGTCCTTGTCAGCGGGTTTCCGCGACAGAAATTCCTGCTTGACGTATGACACCGCCTTCTCGTAATCTGCACCACCTGAAAAATATTTAGAAAACAGCTATAAAGTATTGAAAAAGAAAGTCATAATGCATGATCTTCTAATCCGCCATCACTATCATCGGTTTAAGGGGTCAATCAATGGTTATCGTTTAGAATATTTTGGAAAAATCGCTGCGGTTTTGTGTGAAGAGTGGGCAACGAAATGCTCAAAACACTTCTAGGCACGTGAGTATAGTTTACTTATCAGTAAAAATACCACCAATTTTCTCGGACATGACCTATAATTTTTGCGGTGAAGTTTTCTCAAACCCAAATCGCTAATTTGAATAGCCTGCAAATTCACGGCGACAGCTCAGTCGCAGGTTTATGACGCGGAATATTTGAGAACGCTTAAAATTTCAGTGCAAATTACGGCGGCCTTCATTTGAAATTTGTCTATGGGCTGTTTACTCGTGCGATAAAATCGACGCCGCAAAAATCGCATCTTAATTGGCAGTATAAACAGGCCTCGAGTAATAAATTTTCACAAACCTTCATAATCTGGAAAGCAGTCTGACAAGGGTGATGTAGTGAGTTTTTCTTTAAACAAATCCTGTTTATTCAAAAACAGGATGAACTGCGTGCCAGATAAGTACTCGCAGTTTGATATTTCCTCGAATAAATCCAAATTGTCTCGCATGGCATTCTAAAACAACATGACAAATTGTTAATAATCATATCTTTATATACAATTAGCGATTATGAAATAACAGCATTATTGAACATATTGGTAACCAGTCGCTTTTCTTATTCGCGAAGTGATTGATGGGAAGGATTCACAGATCTCGCGTTGCATAAAGGGAAGAGCAGTGCGAAGAAATTGAAACGCTTTCTCTCTCCTTCCCAAGCGTATTTGCGCGCCCTTACGAAAACAAAAAGCTTAAGTCGGGAAAAATGCACGACTGTAAAGTATTGTGGGAATTAAATCGTTCCCAAGCGCATTTGCGCGCCCTAATTCTTACAATTTATTATTTTTTTACAGAACATAAACAAAAAGTTTGCCAGGAATAATCTACGACTGTAGCAAGGTATTATGGGCATTACATATAGAAGGGGGAGTGTGATGCTTTATCCCTCTTTGACAAGCGCTTCTTCCGATCGCGGCTTTATTCCGTGAAGCGGGGGCTAGTGAGCGCGCAAGCGGAACGAAGAGGGGGAGGGAGAGAATCAACTAACCACTGCTTCATCTTCTTCTAAAACTTCATCATAGCTGCTTAACGAAGCAAAGAAGACTACAGCCGTGACACCATCAAAGAAGTGGATCCATTTCTTTCTCTGACTCTTTTGACCCTCGACGTCAATCACTCTAAAATAAACAGAGAAAAATGTAATGCAATCTTGTAACGTACGTAACGCAACAGCATGTCACAATTGCCCTGCATTGCGGGAAATAGTTTTTACGTTCAAAAAGCAATAGACCTAATGGAATGACGTGTTATTATTCAAATATTTCCACCAAATTCAAATTAACTGTGAGCAAGTCTCATTATTCGCTGAATTATCATCTCACAGTTGAATTCGTAGAAACAAAAGTTATGCAGTTTTTCGGCAGGGATTTTAAGTAATCCACCTGGAAACGCTTTAACCGGAGGAGTTACAAAGACAAGCACGTCACCCATAAGGGTAGGATTACAAACATATGTTTCCCGCTTTCGCGCGGAGAAGGCTGGCTTGTCACGTTGCGTATCCACTATGCACTTTCTTTCGTTGTAGCTCGTACGTTAAGTCACGCAAGGGTACGTTTCGTCTCGTAAAACGTAAAACGTAAAGATGGGACCTACTGTCACATTCACGGGACGAATATTTACTGTAGATATAACCTTGTAAAACAGGCAATATCATTATACATGGACCTTAGCCCATCAATAAAACGTAACGTAATCGACGCGTGTAGTTTTCTTACGGGGAAAATTCCCGTTCCAACGCAGGCTTCAGTAATAGCCCGCCTATTAGAAACGGAACTTTTTAAGAGTAAGTCTAAACGGGTTCTTATATAAATTCCTTTTAAGGAAATGCAGGATACGGAGGTTTTTATAAGGATTTCATTCAAAGTATTGTATATCAAACAATGTTATGTTAAGACCTTAATTCAGCCCTCTATCAAAACAGAATTTTGGACTAAATTAGTTCTTACGTGGAAAATGTCTGTAGTGAGCAAGCCACACCCATTTGTAATGCCCTATAGATTCGCAACTGAATATATGAATGTATTAGATTCGATATTTACCTATATTTGTAATCATTGACTTTTATATTTCTCTCTACCACTCCCTGCGTTCTATCTCTCACTCGAAGGATATCAAGGGCTTCTGGTACGTAATCCTCTTTCGCTAATCGATTGATGTCTGTAAAGAAACTTAAAGAAAAAAAGAACCAATTGATATTAATTGAGGAATTCAAAATTTATTGTAAATGAGAATTTCAATGTCCTAGTTATGAAATGATATAATAAATGAATTAGCGGGAAAAAAAGAGAAACGGTAGGGGAAATATGAACAAAAAATTGAATTATGAAATGGATGGGTAAAAAGATTCGAAGAAATGCAATAAATAGAGGATAGACGAATAAATAAATAAATATAAATAGAGGATAGGAATAAATATTAAGGTAAAAGATGGTCTGATCGCTTCTGACACTGAAGCACGACCATTTCGTGCACTCCGCGCAAACGTCATCACCATATTCATCCCCAATATAATAATCAACACCGATTTGATCTTAATCAGATCTCAATTCACACTTCATCAACGGTTACTCACTATTTCGAGGTTTCATCAATGTGAAACAATGAACGCTTCTTGTAGCACTCCTGCACACACGATTCTTTCCAGAACGCTTCTAAAACATCAGCTTTGTTGACCGGCGAGAACACTGCGTTATTATTATCACAGTTGCTGTCGTCTTGAGCTACACAACCTTCGGCAAAGGACTGGACACAAGAGAAGATAGTTACAATTATTGCGTTAATAATCAGGAGAAATTCTTCCGTGATCATTCATAAATTGTGTTTAATTTGTTATAATCATTGGCAAATAATGTTAATCAGATCATTTGTTAAGGCGCATCATCTCGAACAACACTATTTACAAAAAGAAATTATATAATTTTCAAAGAAATACTGTCTGATGAGTGCGTAGCACGAAACTCGGAGTTACAGCAAAATCTTGCCTCTTTGATATCATATATACAATTTTCAAAGAGCTAAACTATGGAATATGTATAAAATTGAATTGTCGATTGATTCATTGATTGATAGATAGATTGACTGATTGATAGTCAGTTTGATTGATTGACTGGTTGATAGATTGGTTGATTGATTGATTGAATGATTGATTGATTTGAAAATTTGGACTTTTTGTGTTATAAAAATAATTATACAGACGTACAATAAAAAGACAAAATACACTACTTGCGAAAACGTTGCCATAGAAAATAGGAATTTGTATTTTGTAAAAAGGAATAAATCAAAAAAGACGAAAGAAGATCACTGAGGCTGAACGCTTTCTTTTGTCTTGTTTTAATTTATTCCTTTTTAATAAATTCAAATGCTCTATTTTCTATGACAACGTTTCTGCAAGTAGGTGTTCGCAATCAGCACAGTGACCGCGCATTTCAAATGTAAGTGAATCTTATATTTTGCTTGTAATAGGTCTCACTAACTGCCCCCGCGGTTTGATATCTGCATCTACTAGCGACTAAAACCCTGCGGGTTCAAAACTAAAAACACAGGAAATATAAGTAAAACAATGAAAACGTAAAAGCTTACGTTTACATAGACAGTATAATTAATCACATTACGTATACGTAACCTAAACGCAACGCTTCAAGACGCACCTTAACGTTTTCGTCGTCGAAGTGGAGTCCAATTTTTTCCAGTCCTCGCGTTATTTTGCATACATTTTCGTAAATATTTCTGTAAATGACGGAGCGAAATTCTTGCCGTTCTTCGTCGTTGTAACCATTATCATAAACGATTTTCAATTGTTTAATAAACGTACTTTTGCCAGAACCTCCGGACCCTAGAGAAGAAAGAGAAATATGAAACTAAAAATAAAGTACTTTATCATTATATTTATTCTTTAAAAACAAAACAAACACATTTAATTTACATTTTAACAAATTGACGCACGTTAAATATTCATGATAGTTAATGATTCTAAAACCCAAAGGTGTTCAACAAATTCTCTCATTATTTAAAACTAAAATTAAGCTAATTATTTTGTGTGGACAAAAATTATGTATTATTCAAAGACATTGAAAATTATCATCTCTCAGATTTGTAAAACATTCGAATAAAACAATTTTTTAATCGATTTTATAACTCGGTTGAACTCAATTTAATACACCAAGTAACACCTTATTAAAAAATACTGTTTATATTTTATTATATGTACAAATAATATAGAGAACAGTGGACTCCAAAGATCAAACAATAAATAAAGGAATTAGCCCCACCTTAGAATAAGCCCATCCACGAGCCAAAACAAACTGCAACTAGTAAACTGTTTCGATATCAAAAATTGTTACGCGTGACAATACTAGTACAATTTTTAGTTTTAGTTTTTCTCGTTTTTTTTTAACCTTTTACACCGCAATTTTACATGTCTATTCGTGTATAAGAGCTGGAGCATGCAAACAACCAATTTCTGCGGTCTTAAATTACATTTTTCACACATATTTTGAAGATTGAGCTGTTTTGGTTTGAAAGTGAATTCTTTTAATATACTCCATCAAAAGCCTATAGATAAAGCAGTATATTTGAGTAGTCGCGTGTCAGTTTTGACAAGACATCCGATAAACACGACGTCGAAAGCCAAAGATTTGACCTGGGAATTATTCAGATAGGCTTCTTCATGTCAAGCTGTCAAACGCGTCGGGTCAAAAATTTGTATTTAGCTTTGGGTTTCCTGTGTTGTTTTTGAGCGCAATTGCTAAAATTTCAAGAGAAATTAAATTTGTACAATAGCTCAATAAACGGAGTCCTTTAACAAAAGCCTTTATTTTTAAAATAAATAAGTGGCGAAGCATGAATTTCAATAGTGTATATTCCGAAAAATTATTACTCCAACCCTGTCATTTTCGGTTCCTGCAGACTGATACACAAAGAACTGATTCGCGACACAACTACACTTTCAAAACACCTAAAACATTCCTCTTGATTAAGCTCAGCATCGAAAAAATCTTAATTTAGAATATTCACTTTAATTCGGATCGTAGCACTATCGCTTCAAAAAACAGATGGTCAATGATTTTTGATTTGCCTAAATAATCAATTCAACTGTATAGCGACACTTTCGTAAAATAAAATAATCCAAAAGCTAATATTGTAATTTTAGGGTATATTATTGAGATGTGTACATGAAACTAGTAGGGATGCAAATGTGTTTTTTTTTTTAAGAAGGGAATACAAGCTTCTGCACTTAAATTTCGACTATCTGACAGTCTGTGTAAGTCGTTTTGACGTAAACAAAAGGTAATCTGCCTTGCGTCCTTAAAAGCTCGGATAAATTCAACTATAGTCCATAGAGCAACCAGCTGAGGGTCATTAAAAGCCTTTGTTAATGCAAATAGTCGAAGTGAATCCAAGGAAATTGTTTGTGTCGTTAAAAATATTGATCATATTTCGCCCCTGGTCGAGGAACAAGTCGCATTCTGTGGCTACAGCGGAATTTGGTGATCACAAACAATGTTTGAAGTGGCGATACAAACCATGAAACATCTAAACTTACCTAAGGTTAATATTTGAATCTCCTGTTGCCTCTCTTCTCGTTCTTTGTCTAGTAAGGCATCAATGTGTTGGCTTCGTTTGTAAGCTGCCTTCAACTCGCTAGGTTTCAAATTTGTTTCAGATCGCAATAACTCAGCCATAGTTTTTCCAACAATTCGCTGTTCAACAACAATCCATGACGAAAGCAGCGAGGTATTCCAGATAATTTACGTTTTCAAGCGTCTAGGGTTTCGATATACTCTAGTTTTCGAGTGCTATCTTTCTTAGGAAGCGTAACTCAACCGCAGAGATGTTAATAGTTAACTTGATTCGCATACGTCTGTGACAAGTCCTGTTATGGAAATGAAGCATGCACACAACACATCGTCAGAATGACATCAATCCATCACGGATATTCATGAAGTGAAAATGTTCATATTTTAACTACACATCACGCTGAAGTAATTATCCATGTGATTCTTCAAATTAATGAAAATAAAAGAAGGAAACGAAACTCAAAATAATCAATTCTAACACACTTAATAAAAATCACATTACTGCCGGAGGTGGACGTTCAGAGCTTCATGCAGGTCCCAGCCACCCTTTAGAAAAAAAAACTAACATTTGGAATATTCTGAATATGTCATTACAACAAACAAGTGTAAAAAAGTAAAAATTTCACTAAAAACAACAAAAATCGATTAGCTTCTAATCAGAGAAGATTACTTTTATGATAAAATTTCAATAGCTTTTTTGTTCCTTTTGTTGTTTATAGTAAGATCGGTTCTTCACGGCTGTTTGAAGTCCAGTAGAATGTTTTCTTCTTTGTGAAATCTTTCCGCCAATTTAATTCTCGTCTAGTCTTTATACCTAGGGTGTATTTTCAATTAAAGACTCGATACTAATTGTTCTTCTTTATTTCGCAGCAAGAAAGGTGGACCAGTATCATCATACATTAACAAATTGAAAAATTGTGAGCTTCAACTCCTTGAGATTCCTGTGACGCCAACGCTGACGCACGGTAGAGGGCATTGAGACATAAAACCCCCGCCTCGTCTACGATGTCGTCAATTAGAGTATTCGCTTTTCCCGTTCGTAAAGCGCTCGTGCTGCCTGCCTCACGTTGGAGGATCGAAAATTCTCTGACGCGTGAAAATAAAATTAAAAAAAAACCCGGCGAAAGAGCCCTAGATGGCATCATTAGGCTGTACCATTGTTGTGGCTTCAGTTTAGGGGGAGTGGTGACAAAGGAACTGAAATTTCATTGAAATATAAACAAATTCAAATGAAGAAAAGCCATTGAAATGCAAAATCCATTAGGAAAACCCATTCTCTTGAAGAAACCATTAAAATGCCAGGTGTATTACGAACTAACCTCGGAAGTTGAAACTGAGGTTTTCTTTTCTAAGCTGCCATTTAAAGCGATGTATAGAGGAATTTCCTGTTCAGACAAGACCAGGACAACGTGATTTTGACAATAGTGGTGGTGATTGCTCCGCCAAAGGAAATGTTTGACGGTTTGATAGTTCAAGTTAAAACGTGCTTGGCTACACCGCAAATGATGATTGGCTTTCCGGGGTAATTTTGACACGTGAGCTCACTTATAAACGTCCATCTTGTTTTTGTTAATAAATATACCAGCACTTCAATAAAACTGATCGATAAGCCGGGCTTTCATCCCAGCTGTGCTCTCTCCAATCAAGTCGACGAAGAATTATCATAAGAGTAAACTTTAGCAATTTATAAATAGTGCTAAATTATCATGTGAATTTTCATTTAAATCTATACTATATTGCACTATTTAGAAATATGATCACTGTACGTTTTCAAGCGAAGTTTTAGTATTCCCACTTCAGCACTAGGTTTGTCTTATAGTAAAAATCATCGCCTCGCCGTTTTGACATTCTCATTTCAGTTACACTATTTCATTGCTTAAAGAAAAAATTTATTCGTTTTCCGGCAAACGCACCATAGTTGACATGCTTAACTGTGAGCATGTGGACGGGAAAGATAGCAAAAGTTGCTTTTTCGGAAGATTATAGACTTAGCCAAAATTATCAACACATCGCATTCGGTGCCCCTGCGATAACCTTGCGGGATTACAGCGGATTTGGGGTTTGTGGCCAATACATACGAAACGACAACAAAGGGGGTGTGGACTACTGTTTGGCGTACTTTTAGATATTGGTCTTCTTTTCAAAGGAACTTTTATGACAGGCCATTTATTTATTTAATCGATCTGACTGCTTTATGATAGATGTTGTCGAAGTTACCATTCCAGACGAGCATGTATGGCGCGAAGTGCTAAAATCTTCGGCATATTTGTGTTGGAAATGGTTACTTTAAGAAATTTTTCTCTTGTGTTTACCGAATGATATTTACTTTGTTAATAGAAACGTTTTTGCTCTTTTTAGCTGTCCTGCTCAACAACTTTCTGGCACTTATGCTAAAATGCTCTAAGTTTTTGATATGATAAAAAGTGCACTCCTAAAATATTTTTTCACCTCTCGATAATAACACTCATATCCTCACGCCACTATATCAATCATCATTTTATCACATATATTTCATTCTAATATAAATAACTATTTATTTCCTATTTTTCACCTGAACCTTCATGCACATTAGTGAAAAGTCATGGTTTTAACTCTTGATCATTTAATATTGATCCAATAGTCCGAGCACTTTGTTTCAATTTTCAATTCTGAGGCCCCCACGTGTTGCATGATTTCGCTTTATTTGTTGAATAATTACCCAATAATAATGTACCAAATAAGGTGACTTGAATAATTCCCATTATCAATCCGTTTCTATCCGACTGTTTTAGCGAATATTAGAACTATATTAGCCTGCGTGCAGCCGAACCAAAACTTGTTAACAAGTTTTGGTTCGGCTGCACGCAGGCTAAACTATATCTGCAAACATATTATGGAGCATAATAAAGGGGTAACAAAGAATACGTTTTACTCAAATCTTGATGTGAATAAGCAAAAAACTCGTAGGGAATGCTGGTTGGCAATGGCACTTTGAAGCAGTGAATTGCATCGTCATCATTATCATTATCATCATCACCATCATCATCATCATTAGCCCAAGATGAACTATGTGGCATTAAACTGGAGAGAAATCCATAGTTAACACTATTACAAAGGAGAAGGATCTACATTTTTTTCAATAAGAAATCCTAGAGCTTTTATTTTCATGATCCTGTGCTAAATCAAATATTGAAAACACGTGCGTTATCAATCACACGCCGTAATACCCTTTGCTCTGATATAAATTATTTACCATGAAACTCGTAGAATATAAGAGATGGATTTGCCTACAATCCAATACTACCGCCTGTGGAAATGAGCACCTTATTTGGCGTACAATAGACGTTGACTCACTGGGACGTCTCGGATTTTCGGAGCCCACGATGTGAGGCGCCTGGCTTAATCGCAGAGGATGGCAAAACAATCACCTGCGCGCGCGCAATCATTTATGGTGGATTAGGTTATCTACTCGGTGGATTTTGTATGGATCTTATCTGTTGGATAAGGATTTATCAGGTGAATATACAGCGATATTCGCTTTCACGCGCACAACAGAGCTGGGGAGTCGAGAGAGAAAGAAATCATTTTACGACATATTAACAAATTGAAATACAGTTATATGAAGAATTTCTGATGCGACTTTAGAATGCCCACTTTCTGGCACAATATAAACATTTTCATGTCGGCTCTTTTAAGACCGACGCATAATTCAAATGCATTTTAATGATATTCATGAAGAGGTCGGGTTTTCAATAGTCCAAATACAGTGACTAGTTGCAAACATAATTAATGACACAGAAAAAAAAAACACCTAACACTTCAACTAAATACCTACTAAATCAATCTCGTACCCAGAGCCCGCACTTTTGCCATCCAGCGGATGTCAATGCGTGAGAGACTCTGGGGGAATGCGTTATTTCTCGATTCGTGATTGACTGAAAATGACGCGAGCGCGCATTGTTTTCAAGTCGGTTTTTCAAGTCGCCAGCGCGCGCTCGCCCTGTTAGTCAAGAAAATCATCCTTTTCTTGCATAACCACACGTTTACACACATTTTTGTTTTTAAAAAGGTGTAAATACTTTTTCTCAACTAAGTTTTATGCTAAACCTCTTCTTTTTTATCATTTTGATGCTCTAAAGCGGCAAATACAAAACTGGCCTTATTTGCATAATTTACGACGGAAAAGCGTCGCAAATCCAGTCGATTCCTCCAGAGTCTTTCCGGCGTCAGCATACCGCTGACATTAGCCGTGAAGACTCTGGGCTCGAGATTGATTCCTCCAGAGTCTTTCCGGCGTCAGCATACCGCTGACATTAGCCGTGAAGACTCTGGGCTCGAGATTGCTACTAAATTGAAGTCATTAAACGCTCATCAATTCAAAGACTCGTTTGTGTACTAGAAAATACAAAGGGTTTATACCGGGGCGAGCCACTCGAAATCTTTGTTACACTGCTTGTAACTTGGCAAGTCATCAGTCCTTTAACTCTGACGTCACAGGACGCGGGATCAGATTCGTATTTCGACTAAACATGACTTCAAAAGTTAACCTTGAAATCACTGTCGAATTTTCAAATATATTTGTAGGTATTAACTATTATTATGGAATATTACTATGCCCTTATATTTTTCTGTCTTTCACAATTATTTCTTTCTTTTTACCAAATAGTTTTATCACGAATTTGAAAATGGTTTGATGTGACGTCATAGTGAAACACGACCATTTATTGGTAGAAAGCAAACAATATATTTGCAAAATATAGCTAACTAAAAAACACTGAATTCCGCTAATTCCTTTGCATTCTATTGTGTAATCAAAATTATTTAATTAGTATTTTAGAGTTGTTTTATAGCGGAGAAAACTGGGAACTTGAACCCCCAAGACTAAAACTGGGGAAATACCGTATTTTACCGTATTGGCGAGTAGCGTAATAGTCAGGCCTCCAAACATTGTCACAACATACTTAAACTTTAAAACCATTTTATTATTATTATATCCTAGCCTGCGTGCAACCGAAACAAAACTGTTGTTGTTCGAAGTTGTTTGAACAGTACTGGTTCGGCTGAACGCAGGCTGTTACATCCCAATGCCCAAAATAGTTTCAATAAAGTAAATTTCGTAGAAAATCCAATGGGAAGTTATATCGCATATGTGCGTTCCTCGAGTTATTCCGACCCATAAACCCGCGAAACACTTTGAGTATAATTCACACGAGTTACGTAAATGGCAGCGGTTCACGCGTCGAAAGTCAAACGTAAATACAAGAAAATGAAACAAGTTTCATTTGTAGCATTTGCATTGGACTACTCGATTTTGTTTCACGGGTTTAACGCTTCCACTCTATTTGTATCGAGAGTTTGTGGTATACTTAAGATATACTGCTATGAACCACATCGAGAGATCGCAGTTAAGTAATTCACCGAATGAATTGCAATGCGGTTTCAGCATTTGACGATCTCGACAAGTTTGTTCTTTCACTATCCCACAATCGACTTGCTATAGTATATCAGGGACGAAACCAGAGCACTTGTCGATAAGTTGCACAAAAATAAAAACGATACTGTAAAAAACACTTAGGCTTGAGGCAAATGATATCGAATACGGTAAACAACTTCTGTTAGATGGTATTTTATAAGTCCGTTTGTATATATTAGCTATTTTGCGGCGGAAGCGCAGGAAATACCTTCTAATTATTCTGCCTAGAAGCCCTTAAATTACACTCAAAATTGACAGGTGTCGTTTTAGTGCATCCATTCCATTAAATTTAGATTCTTGTTTGCCTCTAAGTGGACCATTTGATTTCGTGGCGGAGGTGCACGTGCAGCCAACGCCCTCTGGCTAGGTTCCTGTATATTTCACTGATAAACCGCTACAATTCATCCTTTATTGGTTGAATATAAAATACATCGATGATAAAACAATATCATTTATAATCTGGTATTAAAATACTGATAATTATACCGATAAATCTAACTTATACTTTTCATTAATATTTCATCACGACCGAAAATACTTTATAAAGACCCAAACGGCTACCATAGCAACATACTGCCCATCGTGACGACAACTAAAAGTAGCTCCAGTTACCATAAACGAGTTTTTATCCTTTTGCTTCCTTGACAACGCAAATCAACACACGGTTCCTTGAAAATCCACTAATTGGACACCAACTTAAACGCCTACCATAGCAACATTCTGCCGCCAATCCCACCGTTTCCTTGACGACAGCCATAAAGGGTTCCAGTTACCATGCTAACAACCTCTTATCCTTTTGTTTCCATGATAACGTTATCAACTTTAAGTGTCCCAAAAATCTAAAAAGCTTAATCACCATTCCGGCTATGACCGGACTAACAATAATCCAAACCGTCTTTCTACTTCAGTTCAAACTTTTTTACACATCTTTTAAGATGATAGATCGAAGAGGTCCACCAAATTCGCCTGTCGTCATCCAAGAAAATCTATTGAAGCTGTAGGTCTCCATGACAACATATATTATATCTTTTTTTTTCTGTGTTCACAGACCAGACCTTTAGGTATCCATGTTAACATTATAAAGTTCTATGTCTCCATGGTAATAAAAGGAATATTTGAATATTTGCATAGCAACTACTGCTAATAGAATCCCTTAGCAACGTCGGCAAATATTTATTATCAGCTCCCATGACAACGAAAGGCAATTGAGGCTTCCATTGGAACCAATATATAGAGCTTTTGGTTTCCATGGCAATAGTCACACCCTTCTCCTTGCTTTGTGTTTGTATTAACTAGAGCCATTACAACTCAGATTACTGAGAATGTAAAGTTGCTGTAGTCTTCACAAAAGCGATAGCGGCTAGTTCCTAAACGATACAAGTAGAGATGGGTTGAAGTATTGGTATGAGCTGATAAATGGTCGCAAAGGCTCTCGGGTGCACCTGGGCCTTTAAATTACGTAATTATCATAACTGCTTACCTTACAAAACTCCTCAAGTACTATGCAAGCCTCCAGAAGGTTATTATTGGCCATGCTAAACAAAACATACCACTTGTAAACACACGAGGGAAAATACAATGCAGTGTAAGTGAACAGTACATTGGAAATGATCGATGGAGAAACTTTGATGAATCAATCAATATATCGACTATCCGACCAATAAACTGGCCATTTAATCAAAAATCCCATTACTGAACCGACCATTTAATCGATCAACTAACCTACCATCTAGTCAATCAATAAACAGACCAAGCATTCAATTAACTGGTCATTTAATCACAAATCCAATTACTGAACCGACTATTTAATCGATCAACCAACCTACCATCTGGTCAATCAAGAAACAGACAAATCATTCAATCAACTGGTCAATCAATCAATCAATCTATCAACACACCGACAATGTGATCATTGAACCAAACAATCATTCAATCAATCACATCAGTCAACCGACCATGGAATCGATCAATCAGTGAACCGACCATTCAATCAATCAATCAACCAATCAATTAATAAATCACTAAATGAACCAATCCACAAATCAAGCAATCAACAAATCCAATACTTTCATTGTTAATTACAGTCTTATCTTCCATGACGTGCCTTACCTTTTTTGGTCAGGTGACGTAGCAATGCCCATCAATTGTTTTCTAATTGTCACCACGCTCTTCTGAAAGTTTGGTAATCTTTCTATCCTACCATTCAAATCTTTAACAACCTACAAATAAAAACAGCTATATGTCATAAAAACGGCTATAAAGAGTGTGAAAACAAATACAAAATGGCGTCGCTGGTGCGAGAAAAACAACTCCCATCATGCTTTGTATACAAAATGGCGTCGCTGGTGCGAGAAAAACAACTCCCATCATGCTTTGTATACAAAATGGCGTCGCTGGTGCGAGAACAACAACTCCCATCATGCTTAGTATACAAAATGGCGTCGCTGGTGCGAGAACAACTCCCATCATGCTTTGTATACAAAATGGCGTCGCTGTTGTACATATAGCATACATTTAGTATTTGAAGGTTATCTTACATTTTCTAGTGTAGAATAAAGTGTTGTACAGCCTGGCTTCACAGGAAGGTGAGGATTCAGTAAATATTCATGTAAATTAGGATGACTAAACTGTGCCAGTAGAGCTATAACACTTGTAACATGTAGGTTGATATCATAGGTCTAGAAGAACAGTATTCAAGCAGTCATTAGTAATGTGAAAAGGGAGACACTTGATAAAACATTGTCAAATTTATTCAGAGATAAAAAAAACGCACATTGGAACATCACAGCCACGAATAAAACTGTAAATCGGCCAGAGATTTGTACTAAGATGTAATTCATTTTCCAAACATTTAGTAATACCTCTACCCACCTGATCCAGAAGCCTTTGTAGTTTCTTAAAAAGCATATTTAGGAATGCTCCTTCATAAAATACACCTCTTGTATCATCATCACCTGAAAAGATAAAAACTAATCAAAAACCTTCAAAACCAATAAGAGGGTTCTGTAGGACATACAAGAGAACCTCGTTTATTCGGACACCTATGGAATATCGAAGAGTGGCCGTATTAATGGGGTGGCCGTTTTAAACCGTTCTAAATGTAGGACTTTCATTTGACGGGACATTAAAACATGGCCGTTATAACGGAGTGGTCGCATTAAAGGGCAGAAAAGAATAAGAAAAGAAGAAATATTTTGACCAGATGTCACGAGTCCATGACCAATCGCTCAACATTCTCACTCAAGTCTCCTGAAATGCGAGCACTTTGATAAATGTGAAACATTGGCATTTTTCGTTCTTCGAGGTCGTTGTCATTTTGATTCACCACTGAAAAATAAACTGCAACTAACAGCAATAGTACTCACTGTTTGATGAAGTAGGGGAGGATGGCCACTCGAACTGACAACACTGGAATGAACGTTCTCGATGCTGTAAAGACAAAAAAAAAATAAATAAAATAAAAAGTCAGCAAACATGTCTGGTACACAAGAAATCGCATTGTTAGAGTGCCTAATGTTTGTTAAGAGTATAGTTATTAACTATGTTAAGAGGTATTCTACTGCCGTTCCCCCAAGATCAAAGTTAGGCTTTGCCAAAAGCTTATGAGATGAGGTATCTGGAGTTGGGTGTATCAGATTTGAATAACACTCCAGCTTTGACATGGTTTGGGGGGAGTACTTGATCACTCTGACAAAAAAATGATTTATAACATTTTATATACGTGACCATGCCAAAACCTTTCACAACGATTTTAGTTTTCATTGTAGTTCGGTTCGATTCCCAGACACGGACCATATGTGAGTTTGAGTTTGTTTGATGTGTTGTTCTCTCCCTTGCCACGAGGGTTTTTCTCCGGGTCCTCCGGTTTTCCTCCCTCAGAAAAAATCAACATGTGAGGAGTGTTGTGTGCTAAAATACTTAATGTAGAGGTAGTGAGTGTGACAGTACAGGGTCCGCAGTAATTGGCTCACGCTGTTGCGGTGTCCCTGCCCATACTATAGGGCAAAGCTAATAAATTACAAAAAAAAAAAAAAATACAAAAATTAGTAATTCCTTTGAAAACAAAACAAAACAAAAAAGCAAAGCAACGCAGAGCAGAGCAGAGCAAAAACAAAAAAGATCAAAAAAGCGTTGTAGCGATGAAAGGAGAGTAACCATAACCCTCATACAAGTATCACCTGTTTGTGTGCATCCCTAAGATAGGTATCATATCCAGTGTCCCCTGTAAGCGCTGACGATTTTACTTGCTCAGGGACGAGTGATAAAAAACTATAAAAACAGAAACAATACAATATGTATTAAAATACAGTTGAGCCTCATTTTAAACTGCTGACTTTACAGAGAAATGTATGTCTGGGGATATATGCCAATATATGCCAAAGTTGTGTTAAAAGATAAATTTAACGTTTAATTTATCTTTTTACATAAATGATTCTTTAGAAACACCGACGCAGCTCACACTAGTTTACCGCTAGTAGCCACCATTTTGATGTATGCAATACATTTCTTTGTAAAATAAGCAGAATTGAAAAATTCATACTTGCAAGTGATTTGCATGTTTATGCGTAATGAAACACTGAATACAGCAATATGCAGAAATTATGATCTTTTTTGCTTATATTTCTACCCTGCGAACAAAGTGTTATTTACCTTACTTCAGTAAAAAATTCGCGAAGGAAAATAATAATTTTTATTGAGGTAAGGTAAAATAACACTCTGTTCGCAGGGTATTATATTTCAAGTATATATCAAAAAAATATCGGATATCATCGCCAATATTATTTTCAGAAAGTACTAGTGCTAGTCAAATTCAAAAAAGTATTGGCAATAATATCTCATAATTTCTGATATATTTTATAGACAGTTGACTCTCTTTGAACGACCACTCTCGTAAACGACCATCTCTCGTAAGCGACCACTTTTTCCTGATGCTGAGGTGGTCGCTTACGAGAGAGTTGACTGTATGTACATGGAATATGAGTCAAAATTATCATAATTTCTACATATTTAACAATTAGACCTCGAGGTCGAGTGGACTACGAGCTAATAGCCCATGAGGCCGAGTCCGCGAGGCCGAATGGGCTATTAGCTCGTAGTCCACGAGGCCGAGAGGTCTAATTGTTTTAGTATAAACATACTAATCGGTCAAATAATGAAAACAAATTGAAATATCCTTAAAATAATTTACAATTTACAATTTATTTATTTTGATTTTCCCGCGAGTGGTCTATCACAAATTAGACCATTAGTAGAGTAGCCAATCACAGCGCAGTATGAGTGATAGACCATTAGTATGTTTATACTAATGCTGTATACTCATAATACATTACCTATTAACAATCTTTACAACCTCTTCTCTCTCAACATCACCAGCGCTTGTTACTATAGTCAAAGGGCTGACTCCATCAGGGGTTAATGGTGGTGTAATGGGTGTTTTAGGAGAAGGTGGTATCACTTCATCAGCGCTGGTACCATTTTCCAGATTTGACGAGTCATAGTACTTTCTACTTCTTAGATTACAAATAACCAAAGTATCTAGCATTATACTACATGGCTTTAGGAGGAGTGTTTCTAGAAGTTTTAGTGTTTCAATGCTAAGCTGAAAGAGAATTGGTTTATAAGATCAATAACTAGACCCAGTACCAGCTCACCCTTCTGTCCAGAGGTAAACTGGTAAGTATATGCAATTCATGGATATATCAAAGAGCATTCTGGTTGACTATCAGATACACTTATCCTACAAAAAAAAAGGTATCGTGGATAACGGATAACAGCGATTGTCGATAGGTGATAGCATGATTATAGGACTAGTTTTTCGTCTGAGTTTACCTTTTTTATTGAGAAGGGAAACTAGATGAAGCCAATGATTACCCTAAACTAACTTACAGTATAAATTAGTTATTATTTCCAATCAATTAATAAAACCCATGACTCCTTTCCGTCATGCAATCACCGTTTGACAATTGAGATTTGCCATTTTTTTCTAACAACCTTCCTTGAAATTGGTATATGTTATGTGAAAGACATTAAAAATTATGAATTCAATAACAATGCCTCACTTGAAGTTGCTTTTAAACATTATTCTAGTCTATATTTCAATTTATAAACAGTTCATAATTATTTTTAATGAAAGTTACAAATGGGATGGAAAAGCAACTAACCTCATCACTTATGTGATCACATCTTTCTATTAATTTCTGTCTAATTCTATGTCCATTTTCTCCTTGTGATTGTACTTCTGGTTTATCTTGTTCACCAAGAAGAAATACAGAAAATTCTGCAACAACAAAACGAAATAAAAAATGAACAAGAAACTCTTGATATTCATTTTATAAGGTGTAAAACAACTTGCATCATATCAAGAAATACAGAAAATTCTGCAACAACAAAACGAAATACAAAATGAACAAGAAACTCTGCAGAAATTCTACARAAATTCTGCAACAACAMAACGAAAWAAAAAATGAACATTAAACTCTTGATATTCATTTTATAAGGTGTAAAACAACTTGTATCATCATTTTACCCATTAGTAAGTGTCTTGAGGTAATAGATTTAAGACATCTTCTAATAATTGCAGTCGTAGTGATAACACCTTGCTCTGATCTAATAAATATAACATAGATTACAATAAATAAGTAACATTTTGATGAATAGAGAAATAGTCATAAATTTGATTGCTATCCTTTGCAAAAAATACATTTTATTATAACTAGTAGATTTCTTGTGCGATGATTGGTTGAGAGCTTTTTTCTATAAGAGTTTAGACAATGAAAATGACGGCAGTCATGCTTGCCACGCAATCAACAATTTACAACAGAAAATATGTATAATAAACACAATAAAAAGGGAGAAATCGTGGTGGTTATTTTAATAATAAACAGGCGTTTTTTTTCCTATTGCAGTATTGACAATGAAATTGACACCAAAAGTGCTCAAAACTTTGCAGTAAAACCATATGCTGTGCTTGTGGTTCCATTTTTTAGAGTCAATTTCTTTGTCATTAAGAGTACAGACAATGAAAAACTGCCTGTGAATTGTTAATTACCCTTCTACAATCATTACTGATTTCTCACATTTCTTATAAAAATAACAGAAACACATTTTTCAAGATGGATGGGACAAGGGTCCCTTTTTGCTCAATTCTTCCCACTTTTCATATTGACTGGTAAATGTCAGAGAAGCTAGTTACTTACTGTTGCATAAAACGTGGTTCAACACTTTGATGTAAAAATCTTTCTCTGATACTGACAGCCAAAGCCCTTCCTACCAACTAATCAATAAACAAGATATGATTGTTCAGATATTTTTCATATTTGTGTTACTTCATGAAAAACTGAGGAGTCTAACCTTGTGTGATTCCTTACAAAGTTGGTCAACATAGTCAAACCAGGAAAGGAATGATATCAGTTGTCGTTTACCAGGAAAAGTAGCGATATCCTCGTCATTATCAATGTGATCAAGTCTATAAAATATTGACAATTACTGGTTGAGCCTGAGTGTGATGTGAAATACTGTTGGTTGAGACTGACTGTGATATGAGACATTATTGGTTTCATGATAAGTGTGATATACAACATTATTAACAAGCCCTTAGTATTCATTCAACAAGTGAACACAAGTCTTCAAATTGCACTTCCCGTATAGTTGTTGTTACATCAGGCATATTTGTTATCAATAGTACAATATCATTACCCCCATTTAGCAGATACATCAGTTATGCCGTTAGGATCCATGCTCTGTGGTAGAGCTTCAAAAAGTGGGTTTAGCCTGTCTGCCTACAAAACACAAAGAATACATATGTTATTTACCGGCTGGGAGGTTCGTATAGGAAAACACTGCCCAAGGTCTTGACAGTACAGAACGAGCGCAGCGAGGTCAGTAGATAAAAGACCGAGCGCAGTGTTTTCCTATACAGACCGACCTATAGCCGGTAAATAACATTTCATTTTTATTATTGTATTTTATGCAACTTTGCTCGCAGCCTAGCTGCAGGATACCGTTGCACCGGGAAGATCGTGAAAAACCGGACTGCGCGCTAGCCAATCACAGCGCGTGAATGACTAGGATACTGGACCGAAAAAAATAATAGTAATTTAATGCTGTATTTTTGTGAATAGTGCAGCCTAAGGTCATTGGATTCTTCAACTTGATATAATTCATTGAGCAAGGCTAACAAAAAAACTGTGCAAATCCTTGGAGCAAAGATAAAAGTATAATTTATAGCATTAGAGACATCCATAATTCTTACCATAATTTCACAGAAAGGAGTGTAGAGAATGATGACAGTAGCGGCATGGTCTTCTGGTAATGACGCACATAACATCAGCCCTTCACATGCTTTAACTCCTATCCTACTGTCCTAAAGACCATTAAATAAACAATCAAATCAAGCCGCCAATGGCGACACAACTCGAAGATTGTTAGACAAGTATACCGTGGACATAAATCTGTATGCAACCTCAGACTTTGTTCAGACCTCAAAAATCACATTTTGTGTGTTTAAAAAGCCATTTCTGTATCAAAACACCTGGCCATCTTGGTTACGGATTTCTAAATGGCCGTATGTTTACAGAAAAAATAAGTGACCTATWAACTAGTCCAYCTCACCTCACACACCATCATCTATCTCCCTCCTATAACTCTTCGATTGCTTCGCAATCTTCGAGTTAAAAATTAACTAAATAATATATAATTAACATCTAATGTTCCTTTAGAGGAGTTAAATTTATAACATGAAATAATAGACTACAACTGTTTACTTCTTTCAATCAATTTGTAATGTAAACACAATGGAAAATCATTGCGATGACCGCATCTTTATATGAGCAAGAGATTTGTCCTGATTTGCATATGACTTTAACTTTCAATTGATTTTCTATTAAAAATGATATTTTATCTTCTGATGTTTTTTTTCAAAAATATATGCTTTAATTAGCTTACATTGGAATTTGAAAAGCGATATTTAAAATATTCGCGTCCAACCTTTACGGTCTTTAAAACTGCTTGCTTGCAGTTTTCCATTAAATGTCTTTATATACATGTATTATGTATGCTTACCTCACTTTTCATTAGATTAAGTAGAGAGTTAACCAGTGTGTAATCAGGTTTGTCTCTCCTTCTAGAGTCAGTTGGGGTTCCTGTGTCATTGCCGACAGTAGTTGGATCATTTTTCTCAAGAGACTGGAATACAATGTAAATTCATTGTTACTGGGATCTGTTTGACTATTCTTTCTTAAAGTATTCTGGGGCTTGTTGTATGAAAGGGTGTATAAGTAGTGCTATAAAACTGATAAATGTCCTTGAAAAGCAGATAAAATAGACTTAATCGGTTGACATAATTTCAACCCAATTCAAACCACCCTTGGAGTTTCATTGTTCATCATATTTTCATTTCACAGTTGAATTCTTTTAACAACAAAAGTTATTTTTCCCACAGGATTTGAATTGGGTGGTAATGTGCAATGCATTACCAGATTAGGTCTATTGAGATGCAAAATTTATCAAGAAAATGAGTTTATCTATGCTACTTTTGATTACATGTAATATGTACAACTAGACCCATATATACAAATTAAAACCAATCAATAAAAACAATTTGTCTTAATTTATAAACTAAGGCCCAGATCCTTCTAAGTTTCCTAACAGAAAATGAAATACTCTGGTTGGAAATGAATAATACTTTGATTTGACTGTTTCCAAATTCAAATGCATTCACATACTACTCAGATTCTGGGTCTTCCGGTATCGTCTCCAGCCAGAGCCTTTGATTTTCCGTTGAGAAATTGAGAAGAATCTGGGTACGAGAATGAATTATACTGCACAAGCTTGTCATTATAAATATAACATGCTTTAGGAGTTATGAAGATATAAATTAAAAATAAAAAAGTTGAAGTCACAGAAAAGTTTATGGCTTTTGTTACCATTGCGAAGAAAATCATTATATTAGGTCAAGTTGTTACATTATGATAGATTATATTAATTATTATTGTACACATATATCTGCTAGTTACTGCATGTTAGTCAAAACTGGTTAATTGTACTAAGTATCAAAAATATACAGAAAAAGAATGCTTTGATAGGGAAAACAAAGATTAAACAATTTTATTGAGCAAATGCAAGATGGACAAATAAATAAATCCACTTGAAAAGAAACCAAGTAAATGTTTATTATGGTTTAAGTAATTAAGAAGATGGATGGATTAGTAATTGATTGAAAAAATGAAAAATGAATGAATGAGAAGACTGAACAACAGAAAGTCAAGAATGTCAAGAATGAGTGGAAGAATGAAAACAAAACTTAACATAACAAAATGGATGAATGACTGAATCACATGAATGGATGAAGGAATAGAAGACTGAAAAATGAATGACAGTTGAATGAATGAATGGTTGAAAAAATGAAAAAAAAAAGAATTTATGAAAAGAAGGAAAGAATAAATCAATGAAAAGCGGCGAACTGACAAGGTAGATGACTGGATGGATAACAAACAAGATCCATACCTTTGCACTATTACTACTACTAGGAAAGGTTGAAGTAGTCTAGTTGAAGATAGAGGAAAATAGATACAGAAATCATTAGATAAAAGACACAATGAAATGTGAAGAGTCTGGTCATTTCATTCAATATGATAGATGATAAATGAAACAAAAAACGAAGAAAGAAAGACACAACAAACACAACAACAACAGCAACAACAAAACAAATAAAAACTCAACAACAAAAACACTAAAGAAACAAAACAAAACACCGAACAACAAAGCAATTCAAAATACAACAAAAACACTAAACAAACAAAACAAAACAAAACAAAGAACAGCAACAAAACAAATCAAAACTCAACAACAAAAACAATAAACAAAGCAAAACAAAAAACAAAACAAAACAAAATCAAAAGGCAACAACATAACAACAAAAACAAAACAAAAAAAACAACAAAAAAACATAAAACAAAACAAAAACAAAATGCAACACAAACACAACAACAAACAACAAACAACACAAAACATAAGCTAAGTAAAATTCATATATTTTAGAAAATCGATTTACTGAAAAAATAACATCAAAGAAAATATTTGTTTGCAAAGGTCTACCTTTTAGTTAAATAATCTTATATCTTATATATTATGTGCTATGAAAAGACTTAAAAGTCTTATTAACAAATTCATCAACTTTAAATTATATCACTTAGAGATTTTAAGTAAATCATACCAGCCATGTTCTGATTTTATACTTTTTTAACCATCTATTGAATCTTCCCCTTTTATTTAGAATTTAATGGTTCTCTTTATTTGTTTCTGAGTAAGATTTAAAAGCAATGTTTATGACTTTCAAGAAGTCACAAGTAAACAACGTGTTTAACATTGTCCCAGGCTCTGTTGTTATAAGTCACAGAACAGTCTCTTAAGGAAGAGAAATGCAAGATACACAAAAAAACTCAACTTGTCATGCAAACTGCTGCTATTCAAATAGCTTCTGTCAGTGTTTTCATTTTTCATGGCCTGTTTTTTGCTGCACTACAAGTTCCTCAGTTAAGGTGAAAGACGAAAAACATCCACTCCGAACTTGAACAATAACAACAATGTTGTGCAACAAGTTGAGTGGTGCTGTATCCCATATTTCTTGACGTTAATGACTTACACATACTGCATCATTTGGTGAGTCTTTACTGATTGCTTGTTGACAAGCAATACAAGAGCAGGAGTTAAGAGCAGAAAACTGTTAGAAGATAGAATAAGATGAAACAAGTTGTATTCAAGAATAAGGAAGGGGAAGAAGTTCTGTCAGTTTCAGTACCAATGGTGCTAATACAAGTAACCAACTGCATGCAGGCTATTGTAGCACTCAGGGCTCAAAATAACAGCCAGACATATGCAGGACAAGATGAGTAATAAGCTGAGAGTTTTACATTATAAAGGCAGGGTCCGTGCAGAGTATCAAAAACGAAATTTAAGGACTTTTCAAGGACTTTTCAAGGACCAAAATTGTATTTTCAAGGAGCATCACATTATACATTTCTTACCTCAAAACTTCAGCTGAACGGAATAATTCAGAGATCGCTTCGTGATAGAGATCCATCTTTTTCAAGGAGTTTTCAAGGACTTTTTCAAAATTTTCAAATTTTCAAGGAGTTTCGAGTGCCCTTGAAAATGAGTTTTCAATTCAAGCACTTTTCAAGGATTTAAGGACCTGCACGGACCCTGTAAGGAGTGCCTTAATTTATGAGCTACATATACAGAAGAAATCTCAGATGGAAAAAATTTAATATGAAAATTATATATGCGTTTTTAGATTTTTAGCAAAATTTCATAATGATAACTTATGCTACAATCAAGAAAAAATGTTATTGTTCATGAAATTTTTTTATTTTTTTTGGTTTTCAAATTTCACATTAACTCAAGGCAATTATTGTTTAATACATTTAAACATTTTGTCAACAATTTTAAATAATTTAGCCTCAATTCAGCGCTGTTATATCTCATAAAACTATTACTTATCATTCTTAAATAGTAAAAACAAAATGAAAATTTTGAAATCGTGAACTTAACAAATGAAAATATACAAAATATTTGTTATAAAGGACTGAGTAAAAATAACCTCAAAACAACTTGGGATGCTACTGTATTAAAATTAAAGAGTATTTTGTATTCATACCTCAAGAAAGAAGTTCACAAGATATGGATCCTGTCTTAATTTAGAGCAAACAGTACACAAAAAGTGGACCTCTTCGTTCTCAGAAGGTGCTGCTCGTACTTCACCACAAAGTCGAATCAATCTCTGGAAATACAAAGTAATATAATGAAAACTAACTTTCTGATGAATTGACTAAAGGGTGAGAGGAAGAATAGGAAGGAAGGAAAAGAGTTGGTAGAATTGGAGAGTGGGATGAATGGATGAATTATTAAACAGGAAAATGAATGACTGTATAAGGAGGAGCAAGCTGGAGGGAGAAAGAGGGGGAGCTAAGAGGAGGAGGAGTAGGGGGGGGGAGAGTAGGAGGGATGCTATCAGTGGGAATGTATGAAGAATAAAATGACTGACTGAATAAATGACCAACTTGCGAATTTTGCCTTGTTAGCCACAACACAAGGGAATCAAGATGAGGAGCCATGAATAAAGATCAGTCCTTTGTGAATAGACAATTATAGTTTTCAGCAATTGACTGAGCTTTATTCATGTCCCCTTCATCTTGATTATTTTGAATTTGCCTACTGAGGAGAAATTCACAAGTTGGCTATTAAATTTCAATAAACAAATGAATAGATAAAATAAATGGATAACAAATTCATATGATTGGATGAATGGATGAGGGAATGACAGAAGCTCGGCTGTACTAACTGAATAATGGAAAGAATAAACAAATGAATGGATAGAGAGAGGAAAAACGGACGGAAGGAAATCAGGACAGTACATGAGAAGTTGGGAGGGAAATATGAAGAATGATAAATCACTATGAATAAACAAATGGAACATGTCTAGATGTACTTACATGAACTGGTCTGTAGACATTGACATGAGGCAGCAATGGTTGGTGCATTTTAGCCAGTAAGTTAGCAAAGAATGATAGAACTTCTTGTTTCATGCCAGGAGGACACTAGAGGTAACAAAAACAATTGTTTAAGTATCATTATAATTTTTGACAATAAAGAGCAGCAAAATAATCTCTCACTCAATACCTACTCTCATTCATGAAATATTTAGGATTGTAAGTATCATTTTGTAAGCCTATTGGCACTAATTAACATTTAATAAAGTATATAAATGAATATTTCACAACCTGCATCTACTATAATGGTACTTACATCTGCCCGACCCAGTGTATGTAGTGTATCTAGAATCTTATGCTGCAAAAGATATTCCAGACAAGGACCCTATTTATAAAAACAAACAAGACTGAAACTCTATTTCAGTTTATTTGGATTAGAAGAAATAAAAAAAGCTTCACTTGGTCACATGGTAGAAAATCCAAAACACTGTCCAGATGATGTATATTCTTGGTATAGAAGCAATCTGAGTCAATCAAGGAGAGGTAAATATTTTGTTTTTGTTTTTTCAAGTTGTTTACTCTTTATCTTAAAGCTAAATAACTTCTCCTTGGTTGACTAAAAATTATTGTTATAATAGCCATTTGGTGGAGTTTGTACAATGTGATCAATAGTTGAGTTTTGTGATCTCTTTTACACTGTATTAGCCTCAATTGTGTGTAAAATACKCAGAAATGTACGTAGATAAAACTTGTGAGATTTCAAACTATTTCCATTGTCTTCTATACTGACAGATATCTTGCATTTACAAAAGCTATTACTGACTAGCCTGCGTAGCGGCCCTAAGGGGATTTGGGAGGGCTGGCCGAGCGGGAAGTGGGGAGGAAAACTCCCCACTCCCAGCTCGGCCGGCCCTCCCCAATCCCCTTAGGGCCGCTACGCAGGCTAATTTATGACTAAAAGATTTTTACTACACCTGTGTAAATTCTCGCACACTGATTGGGTTATTAGAGTGTGTCAATAAGAGGACATGAACACTGTTCTGGCACCATCATGTCTCACACAACCAGTTAAAAGAAGATAATGATTTTGACTAATTTCTAGATTTAAAATGACTGGCCAAAAAAAAACAAATTGCACTCGACTTTTGAACATTATATGATGTCAAGAGTTTGTCAATAAGAGATATAGGTTAAATGGCTTTGAGGCTAGCACAGTGTAAAATAGATTGCTCAAAGGTTTTACTGATAGGAAGGACCTATTTAATTACAACAAAGTCTGATTCTAAGGACCCGTTCATGCTCAACATTTAGCTTACAGTGGAGCCACCTGTGGCGTCCTCCTCCTCTTTCTTCAAGATATACAGCATCTTCCCCAAGTGGTAGGGGATGTTGGTGGAATGAACTGGGACTTTCTCATCTATATTGGGAAAAATGTGTGATTATATTCTGTGGTTTTGTTCATCCTAAACATATTAGGTAGTCAATGGGAGACAGATCCTACAGATTGTGGTCTGACATCTGCCATGTTGGTGTGTCTTTGACTTTCTGGCTTGGCACCTCTATCAGAACTTACCAGGGTCGATATAAGATGAGATAAAAGACAGGGTCTGAAGATCCTTTTTAAAAATACACAAAACATGTTACTCCATCAAAGATGCTTTTTCGTTTGCTTCTCTCAATGAACAAGTGCAATTCTTATTAGTTCAAAATGGATCAAATATACAACTAAATCCGTTCAAAACGTTTTTTTACACAAAATTCATTATTTAAATGTACAACAAGATTCAATAATTGAGCAAATCACCGGAATACTATAAGAAGTCAAGTCGTCAACAAATACCTGTCGCTTCAATGAAATAATTCGTAACGGCTTTCCAGTGAAAAACAAAGCTTTCTTGAGGAGGCAAATCGGGAGCAAGCTGAAAATACACCACACAATCATTCGTTGAAATGTGGAAGTTACCACCAAAGTGGGTTTGCTAACTGGTCTACGTGTACAAATCGAAATGCCTCAAAATAGTGCGATATAAATAAATATTTTTCAATTTCAAAACGTTCAAAACTTACTGCTTCCACTGCTTCATTCACTAGTGACTTAATCTTGCTCAACATAACTGGTTTCTTTGTTTAAAACCAATCCAAAAGGAACTGTTTTTACTTTCTCCATATATCATTACAGTCGGCCGCCATCTTTATTTTGTAACATATGCGCATGCGTGACAAATTGTGGTGTATCCCAAGATGCATTGCTCATCCTGCCGAGCAAAAAACATTTTATGACTTTTTTCCTCGCCAAGGAAAGAAACTAGAAAGCCAAACGCAAGTCGTTTATTTTATTTTATTTTATTGTACGAGGACTACATATAACCATCATGCTTTGCTGCAAAAATGGCCTGTTGACAAAATCAGCAATATTGTTCTACAAGCTAGGCATTAAGTGATTTTTAACACTTCTAAAAGCTTTTTACAGTGATGAACAAAACGAAATATGCAGAACACAATGCTACTTAGTCATGTTCTAAGCCAATGCAAGATCTGTTTTTTTTCTCGGTATATACATGATTAAGCAAAAAAATAAAAAATTAAAAAGTTGCTTAGCAACGGTTTAAAGCAAAGAATAAAAAGATTTTTTTTCTCTTGTAACTATTCGGGATAAACAAATTTATAAACCATAACAATCAATGAACAATCGTTCAGTAAACAAAACATACAGACTACAATCGTTGAAAAAAAAGCTTGGATCATTCCAGCGAATTTCCTCATTTTAAGCAACACCCGCAGATAATTTCATCCTCCCTGACCCCCTAAATGCAATGTTGTCATTGAACATGTTACCATAGCACACAAGCATCCAAAACAAGACCCAATATTGATGAAAGGGGGCTAAGGGGGAAAACTGTGAAAAATTAAGCAGAAAATGTTACGCTGGAGACAAATAATTGTACAGTCCAAGGTATTTTGGCAACGATTGCCGTGTAAGGTATTTGAGCCTCATATCTAAAACAATAGTTCTAATTGTGATCCCTTATCCTTAGCAACGACTTTATCTGTATTCAGTTTTAACTTAAAAGAATACGAAAGATTAAAATCACTTTTGAGAAAATACCAACTATTTTTTCGTAGCTACCAAAACGAGTACTTCAGCGTAAACCGCTAGTCGCAGGCTAGAGTACACTTGAAATATAGTCAACTCTCGTAACAACGGAAATCTTCTTAGGGTTTGATTGAAGTATCCACACGTACACCGTTATCAGCCCAATGTCCAAACAATGTCCAAGCCGTGTAATGACAGTGTAAACAAGGTCCCATGGCCGTCATTTTTAGCGGGACAGCCAGTTTAATTTTCCTGCTCTGGAATTTCTTGTCCCAGTCAGTCCCACTGTTTTGAAGAGTGTGGACAATCTCAATCTCTATATTCACTGATGTCTTTTCCTCTCCACTCCTTGGCGATTTCATCAGCATCTAGATGCTTTTCCAG